CCCTAATCAATGTTGGAAAATGTCATGTTTTTCTCAACAAAAAGGGAAAAATTGCCTGATTATCAACGTTGTAAGTGGGGGGAGGGGAGAACTTGCTTCATGTCCCAACGTTTTTGTCTGGGATTGTAGTAAGTTATTATCTTTTACCTGTTCCAACACCAGTCTCCTCCTCCAGGGTACTGTACAATTCTACTGAGTAATTTGACAGCTTAGTTTCTGCAGCAGAAGAACGAAGCTTTCCCAGCAAACCAGCAGCATGCCATGTTGTTCCACAGGTCAGACTGATGAAACAAGTTAAAATATATCCAAGACTTCTAGACATTATAATGGATCACCATTGCTTAAATTAACCAATACCGCAAGAAGTGACTAACAACACCTTACTACATCTGATTTTAGAATGAGGTGCACCTATGAAACAAACGCTGAGTCATTTCACCTTGCCCTTAAGTGTGCAAAAAGGTCCAATATGTTGGTCTAGAAAATATCCATGCCTCCCCCCTCACAAAGGTTTTGTTTTTTTAGTTTGGACCTCCCCTCCGCAGTCAGAAAAAGGAGTGGGTGACTGCTCGCACTTTATAATAATAGCTGCCTCCTTCATTACCTGGAATTCAACTTACTTTCCTTGTTCCAAAAGCAGCACATCTTTCCATCCCAGTTTGGCAAGGTGGTATGCTACAGAACAGCCAACTATCCCCCCGCCGCAAACTATTACCTGAGCCTCTGTAGGTAATGCCAAGTCAGATGTTAGGTGCCTATCATGGTAGTTCTTGAATGTTGTCTGCTTGTTTCCATAGGTACTGGAAGGAAACAACAGCTGTCCTGTTCTGATTCAAGAAAGAAGGAAATAAATGCTTTGCTAAGGATGAGTCCTTCACAATTTAAGTCTGTAAGTCTGAGTTCAATTATCTGATGAAAGATACTGGAAAACAGCTTTAAACCACAGTGTGTATGACAGAAGTTTATTTATTCACTTGATGGAATCTACATGAGATTATGATATGGGAAATAAAAACTTGGATATTGTTTTTTCTTCATTTGGTTGTTTTGGCCTTATCAAAATGCTTAATTAGGGACACCTCCCTTGCGTGGCTTTGTCTCTTGGCACTCGCATCAGGTTTCTCCTTGGTCATATCAAGTTTAGCGTCATCTCAAAGGTCATTCGCTGCCTATCCTTGCTAGTTTTACCCTCCCTACCCTCCCTGGTTTCTATTCATTGCCTTGGTTTTCTTTATTAAATTGTATTTTTGCCCCAAACTCATGCGTCTCTTTTGTGTCTTAACTAATTGTGTTTTAGCCATCTAAAAGCATGAGATTTCACTTCAGGTTGGATCACAAATCACGGGGTTTGGAAACTGGGATTAGTCGGGCTGTGATGTCAAAGTGAGAATGTAAGTGTACAGTATCTTTTGTAAATTTTTATAATTTTGAATCACAATTGGAATTATGCAAGAGTGTATAACACTTTTTTTTCATTTCTTTTTGTTTGCTTTGAAAAATATGTTGACCTACATTCTTGTGTCCAGCATAACTTCTTCAGCCCAAATAATAAATTTAATGTTCAATATTAAGTTTTTAGATATTTTCTGTGTAAATTAGAGTATAACTAACCTTTAGGTTAAAACAATGAACATGCAGATCAATCACCTTGTAAAGATGGCGGGTTTGGGTAAAACATCCCACAGTAAACTGCTCTGTGACTTCACGGCTCCAAGTCGCCACATCCCTCCACTCCTGTAAGTCAGTAACTTCAACACTTTTAATACGGATTATATTCTAAACATCATGCTGGCAAGAAGAGAAGGAAACAGCAAATTATTAACTCGAAATGATTACCGCAAAGAACTCTTCTTTCTCTCAGGATTTTGATACATTATATGCCAAGCCCTACGTAAGAAAATTGATGTAATTGTTATCTTGAAAAATACATGTAGGGAAAACAAAACACAAAACGGTGATTTATCGGAAAAAAAAGTTGGAGAATGATTTTTTTTAAACTTTCCCTCAATGTTCCCTACCAAGACAAGAACTCTTTTGAAAAAATATACCCAATCAAAAAGATAGGTCCTCATGCATGCAAAAGAGATATGATGGGCCAGTCATACCCCATTTATGTGTACCCCCATTTATGCATACCCCCATTTATGGGGGTTAGGCTACCCACAGGAATTTGATTGTGAGGTCTGTCCCCTGGGCAGGGATTTTGATTGTACGCCTGGTCCCTAGGGTAGGGAATTTGAATGGT